GAGTACTACCACTGCAGGAAGGTGAGTAGCGAAGAAGAATTTTGAGCGGAATTAGCGCCGATTTGGAGAAGAGTTATGCGGAAATTTTGACAGCGATCTGGGAAAGTGCGCGAAGAGCAAGGCAAGGTTAGTTCTGAAGAGTGTGCTCTTCCAGTCTTCAAGAAGAAGCCACTCGTACCTTACGTGTCAGCACTGGAATTGAAAGCCGAAATTGATCGATTGGTGCCCAAAGGAGTTATTTTCCCTGTTGAACACTCAGAATGGGCCGCACCGGTATTTGCTCTCAAGAAAAAGAACGGGAACTCCATCTATTGCCGACTTCATGACCGGGTGATGCATTGCAGTTGCATCAGCACCCATTGCCCACAGCGGAGGGGTGTTCGCAAAACGCAACTCGACTTGGCCGAAGCGCACATACAGGAGGAAGTCAAAGAAATTCAAAGAAGATGTTAACTACCAATACGCACTAGGCAGTGTATCGCTACAATCACCCATCCTTCAAGGTGAAATCCGTGCCAGGTATTTTTCAGCAGGTGATGGATTCGATTGTAAGCTGCTAGAAGGGGTAACCGCTTATTTGAGGACATCATCATTACGGAAAGATGTGATGAAGAACATCGGCAGAACTGGAAGCTCTGTTTAAGCGGATCAAAGACTAAGCATTATATGTCAGGGAAAATGCAACTTTCTGATGCCCGAAATTTGCTACTTAGGTTGCATCATTGACAAAAATGGACGTCGGCCGGGCCTAAAGAAGATCGAGGTTATCCAACAGATGCCAGCGCCGAAGAAGATAGCAGATGTTCGCTCCTTTCTCGGCTTGATCAAATTCTATCGATCAAACGTAGCCCAATGCGCCAACTCCATGCGGTCTTGGACGCGTCGCCCAAAAATGCATTCGGATGGACAAAGGAACGTCAAAACGCTTTTGGAGGTGCTGAGATAGTTTTAACCTCGGAACTGCACTTCATATATTTCGATCCTAGTTTGCAGATAGTGGTAGCTGCCGACGGATTACGAAATTGGGGCTGTAATCCTACACATAATGCCGAATGGGTCGGAAAAGGGATTTGCCATGCAAGTCGAAGTCTCACTGACGCGGAGCAGAATTACGGACAGTCTGAGAAGGAAGGACATGCACTGGTGTTTGCAGCCCGTAAGCTCCATCATTACATATATGGACGTCGATTCAGTCTGCTGACCGACCATAAGACACTGCTACATATCTTGAACAAAGAAAGATGCACCAGTGTATATAGCAAACAGGTCACAGCGATGGAAGCTAATTCTACTTGCATACGACTTAGATCTGAGCGTCGGATGACTGATTTTGGACAAGCCGATGCCCTTCTTCAACCGATCCTTCCACGACCATCAAGCCGAAAACGTCGTAGCGAAGATAGAAGAAGATGTCTGTTCAAACAGCTGTACGAGCGTCAACACTAAAGGAGTAAGGGAGCCTCTGAACCTCGCCGGTTGCCACTTTAGCAGCGAATTAGGTCAGATATTGTCTGTGGTATGCAGGGATTGCTTCTTAATGATCAGATACTTGCAGAGTTTTTGACTTCTTTCGTACTCATCCTTTTCTTTTGGAGAATTCCTCCCCTTTTAGTGAGAAAAAAGCTGTAAATTCGGCTAAATTGTTTTGTCTTCTTACTAGAAGTGAACGAGGTAAAGCTAAGCATCTAAGGAGCAGCGGCTTTTCAACAATATCCTTCATGCATACATTGGAAAACTTCGTTTCGTCAATTTTTTACTCAGCAAAGATGGAAAGAATCAAAAAGGAGGATGCATAGAAAAGGTCTCGCATTTTGCACTGGATAAACCATACTGTTTATCCAGTGCAAAAATTGGCTCAAGAGCAAGGATGGCACACTGAAACCTTTCTCCATAATGACAGTTTAACAACAAGAAATCATAGCTTACATATCAAAGAGTTTGAAAATCCTTCTTCCTGAACCTTATTGCTAACAAGGGAATGGTCAAAAATCGAAGTGGCC